CTTGGCTGGGCGGGCGGGCGATGTTGAGCCAGAGGCGACGTGCCCCGCAGGGAGTCGCGCCCCGGCTGCCGGGCGGATGCTTCTCTTTCCAGGTTCGTCTCCTGGCACGCTGCAGAAAACTGAATTGTAACCGATAGACTGTAACCAAGTAAATAGATTTCCTGAAATAGGTCCTCAGAAAAGGTGTGGATCAAGCTGAGTAATGGTATCATGGCTTTTAGGAGTCCCCTACCCCAGAATGTGAAATTGGCAAAAAACAAGCGAAGTGGTTGATTGCGCTGTGGTCCATTGTCTATTCGAATTCAGTTCAAATACCAATGAGAGTGAGTTTTAAAATTTAGTTCACTGAGGAGAGAAAAATGGGGAAGGGGCAAGATTGGGGGTGTTTCTAAAGCCTGTGTATTTATGGAGCATGACTTGAGATTTTTGATGTTGGCTTTAGCAAAAATGAAAGTAAAAGAAAAAAGGTAATTAATAGGAAGATTTTATGACCAGAAAAACTAAAACCTGCTGAGCAAGGACTTTGGCGTTCTTAAACAAGTGGGGTAGGAGTCTCAGTTCTTTCAGTTCTTCAATTCCCAGGATATCAGCATGTAGTGGTCGAATGTTCAATCCGAGAGACCACCAAGAGCCAATTCCAATGAAAGTTCAAGAGGGTCTTTATTTGCAAGCTCGAGCCCGGACCTCTGTTGACAACCTTCGCAGTGGTGTACACCCAGAGGCCCTGACTTCCTTAAGCAGATACCTTTTATGTTTTTACACAAAGGGAGGAGGAGTTTGGGGGGACTTTCTAGTCTTGTTACCATTTAATTGGGTAGTAACCTCTGGTGGTCAGCTCAGTCGTGGAGGATTGGCTAGCTTGACTCGGGCTGACCTTGGCCCACTAGCTGGGGAAGTTGCAGAGATATTTGGAAACTTTGGGTGATTTTCCCCTGGCCCCTGATTGGTTATTGCTAAGGGGAGAGTGGGTCAAGGGAAGGGGTTAAAGCTTGAATTGGAGCTTTGCAGTTTTTCCCATAACTGAAACTTTAACAGCTACAGGTTATGTTTTAAAGCAGAAAACGAAAATGGCTGTGCTATTGTCCACAAGCCAATTACATATTTTTTGGGTTATAGCATGCTCTTAACCTAAGTTTATGGTATACTCTATTACGGTTCTCTCAAGCAAACATTAAAATTGAACACCAAAATGATTCTCCCTACGTTGGAATCAATCTTTAGTGTCTCTGAGGAGAGAAGAAAAATTCTCTTAAAACAGCCATACTGAATCTTACCTGCATATTAGAATTACCTGGAGAATTCTTTAAAATGCTCAGAGATTCTAATTTAATTAGACTGGACTGGAGGCTCTTTATCCGTCACAGACTTTTCTTTTTTTAAAAAAGCTGTTCAGGTGATTCTAATGTGGAGTCAGCATTGAAAACCCATGTCCCAGAGGTTTATTACTCAATGTGGCCTCAGAACCAACAGCACTTGGGAGTTTGTTAGACATAGAGAAATAATCTTAGGCCCCATCCCAGACCAACTGAATCAGAATCTGCATTTTTACAAGATTCTCAGGTGATTCAGGGTTGGGGAGCAGTGGCTAGAACAGAGGACCTAAGGCAACAGATATACTAGACTAAAGCACTTACTCCTCTGCTGAGGAAGGAAGTCAACAAATCGTGTCCCTAAAGTTTGCTAGACCCTTTCAGGTCCCTTTGTCTTTCTTTACAACACCATTTTGGAGTTTATTTCTTTTTCCATTTTTCTGAATGGAAGTATTTATTAAAGTTGTCTAGTTTTTCTACTCACATTAAATATGGTAGGTGTGGCAAAAATTACAATATCGAATTACAATATGAAATTGGATTACAATGAAGCTAGAGGAGGAAAGGACAACAGAGTGAATAAGAGCATGGACTCTAGAGCCAAAATGCAAAGGTTCTAAATCCACCTGTGCCATTTAGTAATTAAAATCTTTCTCTGCCTGGATTTCTTTATCTGTAGAGTGGGGATAGTAATAGCACTACCTTGGGCTGCTGTAGGGATTCAATGAGCTAATAGATGTTAAACACATGAAATAGTGTTCTAGGCCACAGTAGAGCTCAGTAACTATTAGCCACAAATATTAATGCTACCATCATGCTTTCCCTATAACGTCACCCCATGTAGTCCACCCATTGGTGGGATTTTCAGACTGTTTTCCGTTGAGGAGAATAGGAGTGTGTTTACAATTTTGTGAGATGGATTGAGTTATAGGCAGGCATCTTAAAATTTTGGAAAAAAGGTGTGTGTGCTGGATAGGTACTTAAATTAAGTGTTTAAAGTGCTTAAATGTAGTTTAATTGTCTGTAAAATGAAGGCTACGATACAAAATAGTTTTTGAATTAGTCATTTTATAGATTATTTGTGAAGCCGTGTTTTATTATGATCTTGCTAGTGTTGACCTAACTAGTGAAGACGCAACTGATTCCACTAGTTCTAAAAGCAGCACATCTGAAAATACTCAGCAAGAAGATGGCAGCATGTTCTCTTTCATTACCTGGAATATTGATGGATTGGATCTAAACAATCTGCAAGAGAGGGCTCGAGGGGTGTGTTCCTACTTAGCTTTGTAAGTATTTTCACTTATGTTTAATATTGTGGTGGCAATGTGCATTATTTATCTACAAAGTAATTGTTCAAGATTATTGACTTTAGAATTAGACCTGGGTTCAAAGTCCTGCTCTGGGAAGAAACTTCTGAAAGAATTGAGGTGATTGCCTCTGAGAGCAGAATGGCAGGCTGGGTGGAGAGGGAACACTAATTTTTATTGGAAGCTCTTGCATACTGTTTTCTTATTAAACTTTGTGTACGATTACTGCTGTGACGTCAGGATTACCAAAAAGATCGGTTTCTGCTTGATACTAGCTCTGTGACCTTAGGCAAACCACTTAAAATATCTGGAGCTCAGTTTTCTTCATTTTGGATAATATAAGTGCTTTAGGAGGAGCAAAAGAGATAACATTGAAAGCATTTATTAGAGTGTAGGACCATTTGTAGGCTCTGAATATGGTGGTTTCTATTGTCAGTCATACCGGTTCCTTTTTAAGGTGACCCTCATAGTACTATTTGTTAAATAGCACAGATCTTTCTCCTTTTAGAGTTATCAAAGATCAGTATAAACATTGAATATTAGGTGCCCTGGAGGGTAATAGTTTTGTGTTTTTGTTATGTCATAGAATTTCCTTCATCTCGACAGTTGAAAATGAAATGGCATTCCTAGTGCTTATCATAAATTGATGTTTTTAATTAGGTACAGCCCAGACGTGATATTTCTACAGGAAGTTATTCCCCCATATTATAGCTACCTGAAGAAGAGAGCAAGTAATTATGAGATGATTACAGGTAACACTCTTCCTGTTATTTTAATTTGTCTTTTTTCTTTGAAAAACAGATCAATGAGATAAATCAAAGTTAGCCTGTTGGAACATAGAGAAGAAAAAAGCACGAATAGATAACTTAGAGAAAAATAAGACACAGGATACTAAAATAATTATAGGAGAATATTTTACACAGCTGAAAAAGTGTTTGAAATGGATGATTTTGGGGGGAAATAGAAATTATTAAATTTTGAGACATTTGGTGAAATTCAATTGTTAAAGGTTTTAAGTGTGATAATCATTATGGTTATGCTTTTACAAAGAATTTTTATATCATTCATCCCTTTTTATTTTGTTGTTCTTTTTATAGCTTTTTGCTGTGAGTAATTTAATTTTTTTAATATTCCATCTACTTTGATTTTGCTAAATACATTTAAAGTACCACTTTAGCCAAATCTCATGGTTTTCATATACAGTTGTTCCTCGGTATCCTCAGAGAATTGGTTCTAGGACCCATCAACAGACACCAAAATCTGCTTGTAGTCAGGTCCCTCAGTCTTCCCTGTGGAACCCACTTGTATGAAAAGTCAGCACTCCCTATCCACAGGTTTCACATCCTGTGATTACTGTATTTTCAATCTGCATTTGGTTGCAGATGCAGAATCCACAGATACAGAGGGCTGACTCTTTATTGAAAATAATCTGTGATTAAGTGGACCCTTGCAGTTCAAATTCGTGTTCTAGAATCAGTCGCATAGTATTTTGATTTTCACTTTTATATAGTATGTAATTTTAAATTTTCAATGTTCTCTTTAATCCCTATTTGTTAAGGAGAGAGTTTTTAGTCTGTGTGCGTCTCTTCTTTGTGGGACTTTCTGTTTTCTATTGGGGAGTCTTCCTGGGTTTCTTGTTGTCTGAATCCTCCTCCTCGGTTTTCTTCCTCATTTTATTGGAGTACATTTTGTAATAACTTTCTAAGTAGTACATGGGTAGTGAAGTTTTTGAATCCTTGCATATTTGAGAATGCTTGTGTTTTAGCCTCATAGTAGGTTGATAATTTGACTAGACACAGATTTCTGGGTAGAAAGGCATTTTCCCTTAAAAATTTGAAGGCGTTGCTTCAGTATCTTTTGGTTTCCATTATTGGTGATGATAAGGCTGATGTCATGCTAGTTGCTGTTCTTTTCTTTTTTCTCTCTGATAGCTCTGAGGGTCTTCTTTTTAACCCTTGTGTTCTTTGTATCTCTTAAAAATTTATTGTGCCGAATGCTTGTGGAAACTTTTAATCTGGATTGTCTGGAAAACCTTAGTTCTGGAAAATCCTTTACTCTCACTCCCTTCCACCTGTTCTTTCATTCTTTTCTCTTTTACCTTCCTCACTTCTCTTTCTTTCCTCTTTTCCTCCCTTTCCTTCCTCCCTTCCTTATAATTTTTTTAAACCCTTTTCCTTTTTCTGGAATCCCTCTGTTAAATGGCAGACATCCTGAGTTGATCCTTGAATTTTTGTATCTGTCTCTTGTTTTCCTAGCTCTTTGACTGTTTCTACTTTCTTGGCAATAGTTTTGACTTTTAGATATTATTTTAATTTTCTAGACCTCTGTTCATCAAATGTCTTTTTCATGGTATCCTTTTCTTGGTTTATGGATACAGTATCGTTTTTGTTAGCTTTAGATTTTAATCTCTTTCTCTGCATTGCTTTATTTCCTTCTTTTTGTTTCAGTTATGTGATTGGTGTGTGTGGGGGTGTGTGTGTGTGTGTGTGTGTGTGTGTGTGTGTCTGTGTGTGTGTCTGTGTGTGTTATGTCTTGTTAGACTTGTTCCTTAAATCTGTAGGGATCCTTGGCTCTTGGTTCACATTTAAATGCTGATTTTCAGCCAGGTGCAGTGTCTTGTACCTGTAATTCCAGCACTTTGGGAGGCCAAGTTGGGAGGATTGCCTGAGCCTAGGAGTTCAAGAATAGCCCAGGCAACAGTGAGATCCCATCTCTAGCTGGTCATGGTGGCTCATGCCTGTAGTCCCAGCTATTGCTTGAGCCCAGGAGTTCAAGGCTGCTGTGTCATGATCATGCCACTTCACTCCATCTTGTGTGGCAGAGTAAAACCCTCAAAAAAAAAAAAAAGAAAAAGAAAAAAGCTGATTACCACTTAGTATGCCTGAGCAGGCTAGGTGTAGTACACCTTACCTTGGTGCCCTACTACTAGTGGACGAAGAATTAATTGTGGAGCAAATTGCTTGTTTATTTGGGGGAAACCCACATTGTGTAGCCTTTGAGGCTGTTCAGTTTCTCTAAAAAAGAATTCTTTAGCTTTCTGTCTTCTGGATGTTGGGTTGGGGTGGTGTGCTTGTTTTGCCTACTCGCTGGAAGCAAGTCAGGAAGGGAGCTGAGTAGGCACACTTTGACCTAATCTTTGTTCAACCCATTCGTCTATCAGCCCTCTCCTAACACATGCTCCTCCCAGTACTGGGTGGCTTTATCTGGAGACTCTAAAATTGTTTCTCCATAAATCTGTAGTTTGTTAGTAAAGAGGTTAACACTTGACTGTGAGGAGTTGAGGAAGATACCTGGGAGGTGTTAAACCCCATATCTAGACTGTCCCTCCTGTTCTTAGCTCAGCACCTACCTTTATGTAAGGTACCTTTGTGTTTGAGTACTAAGTGTTTCCGGGCTTTGGTGGGACAAATCTGCTTGCTCCCGTCCATGAGTTTTGCAGCCGTTACTCAAGGGATTTCCTTCTGTTCTGATAAACCAGTTACTACTTCTCCATCTATTATCTGAAAAACTACTGGAAGTTTTTATTCACGGCCCCCTCTGTTCATATTCTCTGTTCTTACAGGTCTGTATTTTTCTACATTTTTCATTCATTTACTATAGTTTTTCTGGCACTTCCAGTATGAAAAGAAGTAAGTGGATATCAGTTTGCCTTAATTTAAGTCTCATCTTCTCTGTGTCTCTCACATTTTCTTATTTGATATTGGCAGCATTGGCTGTCTTTTTGGCACTTGTTATTTTTATTTCTTCTATGCTTCCAGCTAAATTTTGGGAGGGAGCAGGTAGACATGAAAGGTTTGATTGGCCATCATGAACTATTTTGAAACAGTAGTTTACGTTAAGAGATTTAGATCCATTTAAGTATGCTACCTATTTGTTATAAGATCTTCAACAGGGAACTTGTGGTAAACTGAAAATACCCTTGATGACCTTCTCATCCTACATTCTTTTCCACAAACATTTGAAGGTTGTAAAGAAGGATATTTCACAGCTATAATGTTGAAGAAATCGAGAGTGAAATTAAAAAGCCAAGAGGTTATTCCTTTTCCAAGTACCAAAATGATGAGAAACCTTTTATGTGTGCATGTAAGTAATTTTCAAAAATTGACTTAAAAAAAAAAAGGAATAGATAGATATTTTTGTAGTTTCATGGTGTCCTTGTTAAAACCATTGCCTTGAGAGGAAAAATTTGTTTCTTACATGTAGATTCTTAAATAACTTTGTGAAATTAAGTTTTTACATTAATTTTAAATATAGACAGACTTGTAAAAATATAATTCTCAATTCTGTTGTTTTCCTAAGAATATTTGAGACTGCTGACATTCCACATTTGCTTTCTAAAGTAATGTTTTTATTTTCTGCTTTTTACAGGTACTATGTTGTATTCTATGAAAATTGCAAAGATGAATCAAATAGATTTTGCTCTTATGCAGTTGATAGATTAGTAAGGGAGATTTTTTTATGTAGTAACTGAAACATAGGAAAGGAGTAAGTGTCACAGGAGAGGCATAAGTGATATTCTGTAGAAGCTTAGAGAAAGGAGAGATGATTTTTAGCTAGATTGTTTAATGAGGGTTCATGAAGAAGCTGGTATTTGAATTGGGCCCTGAAAAATACGTAAGATGTAGACATGAAGAAGAGTCCAGGTGGAAAAACCACCATGAGCAAATATTTGCAAGTTACAAGTGGTGTGTGTGTATGGGTATGAGTGACCATTCTATTCAGTTTGATGCAGAGGGCATGAAGAGTGAAGTGTGACAGGAAGTTGAGAAGTAGGTAGGGTCCAGATTATAGAAGAGCATGAATGCCTGGTCTGAAAGAATTGGGCTTGATCCTGCAGGCACTTAGTATGATAACAGATTGTACATTGTTGGTGTCAAATGCAAATGGAAAATGATTCTCATTCATTCAATTACTTGACATTTTTTGAGTACCCGTGTACCAGACTCTTAATAGTATAGCAATAAAGAAGAACCATCTCTGGTTCTCTGCTTTGCGGATGACTTCTTTGTAGGAGGGAGATAATTGTGCTTTTAATTTAGTCTGAGGGGCTTTAAAGCAGTCTGTTCAGGATGCATGGGAGTGAGCCACTGATGGGAGTGAGCCACTGATGGATAGCCTGGGCCATTGGGGGTGGACTCACGGTGAAGATGACCTCTGGGGTAGGTCATGCCTACTAAGCAGTCCTCTTTGGGGACAGGGTTAGCACTTCTTACTTCTTTTGATCCAGAGGGATTTGATTATACAGCTTCAGTTTAGTAGCTATATACCACTTAACAGAACAATCTAAAATAATTGGCTGATTCCATTATCAAAGTTCAGTGTTATTAGTCAGTGGGCAATTTTAATGACTGTAATTACTTGTCCTGTTGCAGGTGAGTGTATCAGAAAATGAACTTTACCTTATGACTTCCCATTTGGAGAGCACCAGAGGGCATGCTGAGGAACGAATGAATCAGTTAAAAATGGTATTAAAGAAAATACAAGAGGCTCCAGAGTCAGCTACAGTTATATTTGCAGGAGATACAAATTTAAGGGATCTAGAGGTGAGTGACAATATCAGTTCAACATTTGTGGACACATTGTTGCTACGGAAACTAATTTTGGTTCTTTTGATCAAAGTTGTTAAAACTAGGACCTTTAGTCACTCAAAATGTCTAAGTGACCTTACAAATGCAATTCAGCAAACAATTTGTTTAGCCTGTGCTGTATGCCTAGGGGCAGGAGGAGCTTTCACAGTATTGGAAGAAAACAAAAATATACATGAGAAGTAGATGACAGAAAATTATGTATATATTTGCTTAACAAGAGAGGTATAGAGAAAATTAGAGTTTTAAATATTGTCTTTGCAGTATTCTTAGTTACAGGGTGAAAAGATTTGATCACAATAGTTGTTGCTAGTTCTCCTTCTGAGATTTTTTTTTGCTTTTTGTCAACCTTCTTTACCCCCCTTTTCCTGTCACCACCATGCACAGGTCTTTAAATCTGAGGCAAAGTTTCTTTCTTTGCCCTTAGTTCAGTTGAGACACACTGGGATTTTTCAGTACCTCAAAAAATTAAATACAGAATTACTATATGACACAGCAATTCCTCTTCTAGTTATTTACCCAAAAGAATTGAAAGCAGGGACTTGAACAGATATTTGGATACTCATGCGTGTTCACAGTGGCATTCACAATAACCAAAAGGTAGAAGCAACCCAAGTACCATTGATAGGTGAATAGATAAACAAAATATGTATATACATACAGTGGAATATTATTCAGCCTTAAAAAGGAAGACACTGTTGACACATGCTACAACATGAATGAATCTTGTTATGCTAAGTGAATGAAGCCAATCAAAGGAAAAAAATACATGATTCCTCTTATGAATTTGCTAAACTTAATGAAATCATAAAGACAGAAAGTAGAATGGTGGTTGCTAGGAAATGGCGGTATAAAGGAATGGTGAATTCGTGTTTAATGGATACAGAATTTCAATGGGGATAGATGAAGAAGTTCTGAAGGTGGATGATGGTGATGGTCGCACAACAATGTGAATATACTTACTATCATATAACTGTATGTTTAAAAATGATTAAAATAATAAATTTCATGTTTATATTTTGCCACACAGTTTTAAAAAAATAATTCTGGAGTGTGAATGGAGAAGAAATAATTAACATGACTAGTAAACTTCAAATAAAACAAGGCAGTTGACATTGGATCATATACATGCTATACCTATAAATTTGTAGACTAAAGTAGAATGGTAGTTTTGCCTTCTTTTCACTTGAGTTCAGTTTTGAAAAAACTACTAACAGTTGCCAGGTGCAGTGGCTTACACTGTAATCCCAGCACTTTGGGAGGTGAAGGCAAAAGGATTGCTTGAGCCCAAAAGTTTGAGACCAGCTTAGGCAACATAGTGAGACCTCATCTCTATAAAAATAAAAAAAGTAGCCAGGCATGGTGGTATGCGCCTGTGGTCCCAGCCACTTGGGAGACTGAGGCAGAAGGATCGCCTGCGCCCAGGAAGTCAAGACTGCAATAAGCTGTGATAGTTCTACTGCACTGCAACCTGAATGACAGAGTGAGACCCTGTCTCAAAAACTAATAAACTACTAACAGCAGTAACAGGCCATGAATGTTCAGTTTCCTGAGTTTTGTCTAAAGTTAGGAACTATTTCTGGCAGAAGAGAAGGGACAAATTCAGACCTCTCTAGCTAACCTGATATTTTTATATTACCTATTTACAAGGGGGATCTAAAAAAAATGGAATTTATTTATAAAAACTTGTGTATTTATTCTTACATGTTTAAATTTCAGTCACCTTCAAAGTGTTCTCTGTTTGATGCAATATACTCATTGAGATGCTTTTTCCACTGCTCAAAACAGTTTTTGGGCTCTTAAGTTTTGATGTTTTTTAGTGCTTCTGGTGTTTTTTATTTCACCTCTTTCATATTGGCAAACCATTTCCCTTTGAGGACTTTTTTCAAAAAAAATCAGATAGGGAAACAAAAAAGTCGCATCTGGTGAATGAGGATGGGGGAACCGGGTGTAGGGGGGCATGCCTTTTTTGGTCAAAAACTGCTGAACACTCAGTGCATTGTGGGCAAGTGTGTTGTCATGGTGGAAGAGCCAGTCAACTCTTTGCCACAACTCGGAATGTTTCTTCTACAAATCATGATGCAACCTTCTCAGAACTTCCAGATAAAAACTATAGTTGACTATTTGATCCCAAGGAACAAGTTTCCAGTGTACTATAAGGGGCCCACCCTCCAAAAGACAATTCCAGATTTTTTTGGGTCCTCCTTCATATTATCATGCAGCATAATATTTTTAATAATATATCTAGTTATTTTGCTTTTGTGCATTAATAAATTCTGAGATTCTGGTTTGAAATATTGTAAATGGACATGGTAATAGGAAAGACAAGGTAATTTCTTAAATTAGAGGAAAAAAGGCTATGTGTATCTTATAGAATATTATTTTTCTTTTCAGGTTACCAAATGTGGTGGTTTACCCAACAACATTTTGGATGTCTGGGAGTTTCTGGGAAAACCTAAGCATTGCCAGTATACTTGGGATACACAAATGAACTCTAACCTTGGAATAAGTGCTACTTGTAAGCTTCGTTTTGATCGAATATTTTTCAGAGCAGCAGCAGAAGAGGGACACATTATTCCCCGAAGTTTGGACCTTCTTGGGTTAGAAAAACTGGACTGTGGTAGATTTCCTAGTGATCATTGGGGCCTCCTGTGCAACTTAGATATAATATTATAAAATACTTTAGAAATAAAGAGTTTCTGAGTAGCTTTATTCTGGAAATATTTCTACCTTTTGAAAAGGCAGGTTTAATATGGAGGAATACTAGATCATTGTGACAGAAAAACTCAACTACAGTTTTATTTTGTGATTGTATCCTCAGAATTAAAGAGGAATAAAAAGGACACAAAGCCTGACAGTTTTTAACAGTGCTTATAGCTGCCAGCTGGATTCCAGGCAGGGGCCACATTATCTCAGGCTCACCTTTATACTTCAATGAGCATCTAAATAGTTAATATTTTAAATAAGTCTTCAGAATAAAAAGGAAGACATTACTGAGTCTTTGGGACTGGATCTTTTAATTATATTTCACAAGTTCAGATCATCTAAAATGAGAAAGCCATGATTGTCTGCCGTTAAGTAGATGGCAGCTACTCTACATCAGCCTTGATTTTTGTCAGTTGACTGAATGTAATTGGTAAGTTACCGATGCAACCTTATGATTTAAAATTATTTTTAACTCTTTTTTGATTTATGTTTGTAGTTATGTTGCCAACAGAGGCAAAGTTAGGCTTGATAATGATAAAAGTCAGTCTTTTAGCACCATGGGATTTTTTTGTAAGAGAAATGTGTAAAGAGAAATAGCCTTTTAGTTTTGCTACTTGTAAAATGGAAATAATTTACAGGAAGTGAATACAGAGTGCTTCTAAATATGCTTTAAAGAAAACAACTTTTCCCACAAGAGAAATGTACTTTAAATAAAGAATTTTACTTGTTTATAGTTTGTTTTTGCATGTTTTTGTTTCCGTGATGGGATTAAAATTGTGTATACTTCCTGTATCTGGCTCCACTGCTGCTGCTTCCTTTGTGTGGAAGAAAGCAACTTTCCATGTTGCTTCTCACCCTACTAAAAATTACCAAAATTATATTTATTTCCTTAGTATATATATATATTAAAAAAAACACCAGTGGAAATAATTAGAAGTGACAGAATCTTATTTTTATCAGGAGTGCCAAAATTAAAAAAACCTAAAAGATAAATTGAATTTATATATAACATTTCCTTTGTAGTGACAGTGGAAAAATGGTTTATATGTTAATCATAATTTAACGATTGAAAATAAAAGGTGAGAATTGATGTTAACATTTTAATAGCATATATTATGTAGGCAACTCAGTAGTTCATTTCCGTGGGGAAAATATTGTTCTGGCATAAATTGCTTATTCATTTGGAAGAATTATGTTAGAAGAAACTCACATCAGATTACTAAAAAAAATCTAGGGAGATGAAAGTCTAAATATAAAAAAATATATATTGTGGTATATTGAAGGATTATCAAGCATTTGCAATCATGAAAGTTTCAGTTTCTTTATGTAACTCATAGCATCCACATCAAATACCTTTTTGTAAATTGCTTATAATGACAAAAATCTAAAAAAAGTGAATAGGAATACCACTTAGTCTACTTTCATGAGCAAGAGTTTTCAAACAGAATTAAGAACCTAATTTGCAATATCTTGAGTTTTCTTGGCTTACTTTAACTTCCTTCACAGAATTCCAACTTAGAGTCATATTTCAACGAGGCAGCAGTTTTATTATGTTACGTATCATTTTTGCCACTGATGTGAAATGTACTTTAGTCTTGCTAAACCTGTTTCTCCCACCTTAAAAATAAGATAGGGCAACCCCCTCAGGTCCCCTCCCACTCTGAGAGCTTTTCTGTTCTCAATAAATCCTGCTTTCCAAAAATAAGAATTTTTTTTTTATTGTGCAAATGTCCCAACCAACAGCATAAGCAAGACCAACATCAAAAGTTATACTAAGGATACATCATTTTATCCTTACTACCTACTGTAATGTCTGGCAAGTAGCAGGACCTCAATGACTTTCCATTGAATGATGAATAGAAGGGAAAGGTAGTGGCTCCGCATATGTGTCCTAGGGAGGCAGGCTAACATTTTCAGACAGTGCTATAATAATTTGTTATGAATAAAAATAGATGCTGTGGCTTATACCTGTAATACAGTGCTTTGGAAGCCCTAGGTAGGAGGATCTCTTGAGGTAAGCAGTTCGAGACCAGCCTGGGCAACATAGCAAGATCTGTCTCTACAAAAAATAAAAATAGGCATGGTAGCTATTGTGTACCTGTAGTTCCACCTATTTGGGAGGCTGATGCAGGAGGCTCATTTGAGGCCAGGAGTCCGAGGTTGGAGTAAGCTATGATCATGCCACTGCACTCTAACCTGGGTGACAGACTGAGGCCCTTGTTCTAAATAAGTAAAAATAAATGTAGATATTCATTGTGGTTCTGAGTTAAAAAAGATGTTTAACATTCTGAGCTAAGCATATATATATAGTTTATACTCATATATATATGAGTGTGTTAAAAATATTTAAAGGCTAATCTGACCAAATCAGATTCATTGGCTTAATACATCCAGAGAGGGTACACTACAGGTACTGTAAAATGCTATGTGAGAAGAGAAAGGGGGAAGTGTCTTTTGTAAGGTTTGGCTTCAGTCTTGGAATTGGGGCTGGACTCTGGTTGATTGCTGTTTCAGATGCAGGCTGAGAGAAGCGGGATTAGCTAGGGATTGAAAGCAGTTTAGCAATTGGGTATCCCCAGTTATGGGTGGGAATAGCAAAGCAAAAGAGGCATCCGTGGTGTTAAAAAAAAAAAAAAAGCAGTCACTCAACGGAGGAGTTATTTTGTAGAAACTGTGTGATTTTAGAAGAAACAGTTTCCTATTAATTTTCTTCTGGTCTTACTTGTGTTTATCCTCTCCCACCTGATCATGGGGAGATCCACTTTTTTCATTTTAGTCCAACCTGGTTTTCACTCTTTCAGTAGTGGACAGATTTCTACTCTTTGACCGTGCATTATCTCATTTAATTCCCACAATCAATTCCCACTCCTGGATGAGTGCTATTATCTCTATTTTTATAATTGAGGATTATCAAGATTATGTATCTTGTATAAGGCTCCTCCATAACTAGTGAGTAGCCTGGTAGGGGCTTATTCATCAGTTTTGTGTGACTCAGGCCTAAGCACTGCACTATGTTCTTCCTAGTGATGGGATGTGCAAGGAATACCCTGGCTTTCCTGCCCAATGTTATCATCCCTAATGCTTTAGCATCTTTATTCACATAGATTAAAAAAAAATGCAAGGAAGAGCCACACGAGTTTCTTGTGGTTCAGATGATCACCTTCCCCAAGACGTAAATGTCAAACTACACTGGGCACCCCGTTAACCTGCAAAGCCTGGAGTCGATCTGGGCCGCTCCGGGCAGATTCCCATTCTTAGAAAGTAGCACGTGCTCCAATGGAAAAACAGAGTAGGGTCTAAAGAGACTCCCACTGGAAGAGTGGGCCTTGTGTAGCTCGGGTGACGCTGCCTCGGAGGACACAGTTGCGAAGGGTCTTTGATCCAGTTAGGGCGCCGGCGGCATTGACGTGGAAGGAGCGTTCGTCTACCAGCGCGTCAGGGCCACCGTGGCAGGGAAGAGGTTGGTGAGAGAAGGAGATAGGGCAGGAAGGCCGCTCTTCCTCCCGAAAGGCTTCTGCTTGGTCCCCTGCGGGGTGGGAATGGGTCGCCCGGGTGCCCATCTTAGAGCGCGAGCGGGGAGCTGGGCAGGTGCTGCCGCCGGCGCCCGCCCATCCCTGGGGACGTGGGTGCGCGTGCGCGCGCGTCGTCGTGGCAACCTCGGCGGCGGAAAGGCGCTGAATCACCGGCGCGCGCTTTCCCAGCGCCTGCCGCGGCTGCGGCGGGCGGGGATCCTCGGGGCTGCCGCCTTGCTGACCCTGTGCTACCTCCGCCGGGCCTTGCTGGCTCCGTGCAGGAGCCTCAGCCTGGTTTGGGTTTGGTCCAGAGTGCCTCCTCGGGGGCTACGTCCCGGGGAAGAGGAAGCGAAGGTTTTGCTCGGGTGGGGCGGTCGGTATCTCTACAGCAGATGCGAGCTAGGGTGCGTATGTGCTTGGGTGTGTAAGACGGCGATGACGACCAAGAGGAGCAAGTGGGACGGCGAGTGATGCTCCCGGCGGCGCCGAACTGGGGCGAGCTTCAGTCCCAGGTAGAGTCCCTAGTTCCCAGCTGGGCTGGCGCGCCCTGATTCAGAGGTGAGTTTCTTATGATTCCTCTGGACATCTCGGAAAGGGTTTCTGCCCTAATTGCTCCTTAGTAGGGTGGAGTCGGAGAAATTTGGGTGTCTATTCTCACCTTCACGAATTGCATTTCTTAGACCTAAAGAATCGCTTTCTTTAAACTTCGTTTAGTACTGTTTATGTGCTTTGCTATCATTTGCTAAATGCATTTTGTCTCTGTTCTTACCCTAATCTGAAGCTTAAAACCTTTTAAAGGCTTTCTCTCCTTCCTAGGAATGTAAAACATTAATCAGAGCATAAACCTGAAGTTATAAGTCATCATTCTTAAGATCATTTGTTCTCTTAATTATATAAAGAGAGGGAAAATATCGTATATACTCTGTACTCATGTACATTTTTGTTCCTGGTCTGTTCATCTAAGCATTTTTGTTCGGGTTAAATGTTAGTATTTTTTCCAGTGCTTGAGTAGAAAAGTTGAATAATGTTTTTGATAATAATAGAAAAAATAAATTATAGACAACCCCCCAAAAAACAAAAAGGTTGGAGCTTCTTTCTTTTTCTTTTCTTCTTCTTCTTCTTCTTTTTTTTTTTTTGAGTCGGAGTCTCACTCTGTTTCCCAGGCAGGAGTGCAGTTGCACGATCACGGCTTACCACAGCCTCGACCTCCTGGGCTCCTTCCATCTTAGTCTCTTGAATAGCTGGAACGACAGGCACATGCCCCCACACCTGGCTAACTTTTTAATTTTTTTATAGAGATGAGTTCTCGCTATGTTACCCAGGATGGTCTTGAAACAAGCCTCCCATTTCAAAGTGCTGGGATTACAGGCATGAGCCACCAAATCTGACCAGTGTTTTTTTCTTTACTCCTGAAATACATGCTCACTGGCCAAATTTTTCCTTTTGTTTATTATAAGACCACAATCATAGAGACTACTGAAGGTATTCCAAATTGAAATTTTATTTTGTGCTTATTATTTTATCTATTTTTTTAATACAGATGAGGAAAACTGGAGATACCAATTCAGTTGTAGACTTAGGAGTCTTAGGGAAAGCTGAATTCCTCTGTAATATGAAAATGAGAGAAAGGTAAACATGAGGACTCTTCAGAATCACAGGTGGTAGAAAGACTCATCACACCCTTTGTTTTGTAACATGTCAAGGTAGGAACTTAATTTCCTTTCAGAATAATGAAAATAATTCAGCCAGAATCTTTATGAATAAAAAATAGTCAAAAGAGAGCTTTGGCAATTTATTAACATAAAATAATAGATTTGCTGTTAAATTTTCTTGACTTTGTCCCCCTAATCAGACAAGAAGCATTCTCTTTAAATAAATACTATAATTCTTACTTAAGATAGTCAGATTCTCCCCTAATCAGACAAGAAGCATTCTCTTTAAATAAATACTATAATTCTTACTTAAGATAGTCAGATTCTTAGAAACTGTGACTTTAAGCAAAACTACATATAAAGAAATCAATTTTATCCTAGGCTATGTTATATAAACAAGCATATTTCTGGTCACAGAAACATCATCAAACTTCTAAATAGAGACCAAAACATGTCTAATTTTAAACATTGAAATAAATGTGAGTTATACATTTCTGGAAGATTCATAAGAATAGATAAGACAATTATTTACCCAGTTATTCCAGTTCAGGGTCCTGCCAGAACTTATCCTGGCAGCTCAAGGTGCAAGGTGGGAACCAGCCCTGGGCACTACACCATTCCATCAC